ATTCTATGCTAAATCTGATTTCTTTGTGATCACTGCTCCCTAGCTCACTCCCTATTTCGATGTCATTAATTTGCGTTTCCCTGTTAGTTAACACTAAATCTAAAATATTATTTTCCCGTGTTGGTTCCTTAATGTGTTGCGTAAGAAAGCAATCGTCAATTAATTCTAGAAAATCTTCTGCTTCACTATTCCCTGTTTTGTTCAACCAGTTTATTCCGCTAAAATTAAAGTCACCCATGACATAAATACTGTTAGATCTAGATGCTCTAGATATTTCATCCCATAGATGCTTTGCTTCCATTCTGTCTAAATTTGGTGGCCTATATATTACTCCTATTATAATATTATTAGCTTTTTCGTTTAATTCAATCCAAATAGTTTCTGTGTGTGGCTCTGTTTTGATTCCCTCTTTGAGACTACATTTCAAATTGTCCCTAACATATATGGCTACTCCACCTCCTCGTCTAATATATCTATCTGTGTGAAATAGTTTAAATCCATATATTTGATATTCAGCTAATAGTTCTCTATTTTCTACATTCATCCACGTTTCGGTAAGTGCAATAATATCTATTTTTTCTGTGCAGACAAGAGCATTTAATTCGTTAATTTTATTTCTTAGACTTCTACTGTTAGTGTAATATACCCTAAGTGAATTGTTATTTTGCGGACCTTCTCTTTCCCTGATCGTTTTGCCAATTCCTTTCTCCCACAAACACATACTTTTATTACCTCCTTCCTCCAAATCAATTCCCATACCTCTATCTACTAACAGTTTAAACCCAAACAAACACCTCTAACCACTTCTTCTAGCGAGTTCGCAACAGCAACAACCCCAGCTCTCGATAGATGCACCCCATCACGAGCATACATTTCATTTCTTCCATAGAAGTGTTCCCAGTTGTCTATGAAAGATATTGCATTTGATTTGCAATATCTTTCCAGCCGGCAATTGACACCAAGTGCCCTCGATATCCATTCATTTCCCACTCCCTTTCTTGGAAGAATGCCACATATGATCGGGATTCCTCCCTTGCTCCTAACTAACTCTATGGCTGTTTTATGCAAATAATGGGATTGTTCCCATTACCAGCCATAATATCATTCATGTTGTTTATAATATCACCAATGCCAGCTCCGGGATAGCAAACCCTTAACCTGTTCCCCCTATCTCTAGCACAAAACGTTCTATCCAAATACCTTATCTGGGAATCTCCCACAACTAATGTTTGCTTAGGTACTTCCTTTACTTTCTGAGGGCTTTCCTTTCTCATCAGGGCTTAATTGAAATAGGAGTTCTCCAAAACTCATTTTCGTACTTTTAAGGTGAAGAAAAGAAGTGGCTTTATTATAGAGTGTCTTACACTTATTTGCATAATTTACACGACGTTTCTGAACCTCCATGGTTCATTCTCAAGTGAACAGATCTTACAATACTAGTTGATTTTATACCCGCATTAGGTCAGGTGATAATACAATGATAGGTGAAAACATGGGGGGATACATAAGGGATAAACATAGGGGCTGCAGAAGGCTTATTGGCCCATACGAGGCATCTCCTATCTAAACACAAAGATTAATCCAGTGTAATTGGCCTGTTATGTTGGACATTGTCTTCTGTGTTGGCATCGATATGTTCTTGTCTTGTCCTTACTCTCATGGTGGGTAGAGTAAATAGTTCCGTGATTTGGGTGTTCATGGTAGGTCGCTCTATTCTTATGTGAATTGCCTCAAGAATTTGTAATCTTCTTGAATCTTGGGTTTTGTCTATTATGCAAGTATTCTTGTTCAACATTTCTCTTGTTAGAGTAATGTCATGGGCTTGTCTCATGTGATTCCTAGGGGCACCAGATTGAAGATGGCATGTCAAACGCCTCGTCAGCTTGGTCGACGTCATACCTATGTACTTACATTGAAGGTTACATCCTTCGTGGGGGCAAGTGTACATGTATACAACGCTTGACTGCTGTAGAGGGTTCTCCGTCGGCTTCGGGCTGTTTTTGATAAGGAGTTCGGAAGTCTTCTTGGTTTTGTAGAATATTATCAGGTTTATGTTTTGGTTAGGAGTAGTGCTTTTTACTCCTTTACGGATTATTTCTTTCATTATTCTTTCCTCTTTTATATGTTCACTGTGCATGGTTGATTTGTAATATAATTTTATTGGGGGTGTTGTGGTTTCTGTCCTAGGTTCTGAATTATACCAACGGTCCAAGTGTCTTCTTATAGCAGCGTTTATTTCCGCGTTGCTATATCCGTTGTTCACCAATACCTGAGTTACTCTTTCAAACTCTCTACTCACGTTGCTCCATTCAGAGCAGTGGGTAAGCGCTCGACGAATATAAGCATTGAGAACACTGGCTTTGTATCTTTGTCTGAAAGACGTAACAATAAGAAAAGCCGACAAAACAGCAGCATATGTATTGATTCCTACCCATGAATACATGAACAAAATTAGCGACATCCTAAGTGACGACTCCAAATTTCAACGAATCACGAGGAACCCCGTAGAAGACCTTAAGCGGAAAGTAAACAAAACAATTACAGCAATCAACGCAAAGAAAGGTAGTGTGCATTTCAATAAACTTCAAGGCGACTATGGCTTAGGATATGCCTACGGCAATGTTAAGACGCATAAACCAGGTAACCCACTACGCCCTATAATCAGCCAAATACCAACCCCAACTTATCACCTGGCAAAGAAACTCAATGAACTCCTAACTCCATACACTCCAAGTAAGTTTAGTCTACAATCATCAGCAGATTTCCTAGAATTGATCAAATCTACCCAGCCCGATGGAATCATCGCTTCCCTGGACGTTGAATCCCTTTTTACCAACGTCCCAGTCGACACAACCATAGGAATGATACTGGACAGAGTATACAGAGACGAGAGCACCCCCAAATTAGACATACCTGAGCCACACTTGAAAAGTCTTCTCGAAGCATGTACAAAGGAAGCCCCTTTCATCAGTCCACATGGAGACATGTATTTACAAATAGACGGAGTAGCAATGGGCTCCCCCTTAGGAGTTTTATTTGCTAATTTTTATATGGGAACCATCGAAGATAGGGTCTTCAGTAGCAGACAAAAACCAACTGTATACTGCCGTTATGTAGATGACATATTCGTAATAGTAAAAGACTCAGATGAACTAATTGACCTAAAAAGACACCTAGAGAGAGAGTCAGTACTCCGATTTACACATGAAAATAGTGAAAATAACAGTCTGCCATTCTTGGATGTACTAATAACAAAAACAGGAACCTCTTTAAGCACCAACGTATATACCAAGCCCACCAACATAGGATTATGCCTGAACGGTAGAAGTGAGTGCCCCCAAAGATACAAAGCCAGTGTTCTCAATGCTTATATTCGTCGAGCGCTTACCCACTGCTCTGAATGGAGCAACGTGAGTAGAGAGTTTGAAAGAGTAACTCAGGTATTGGTGAACAACGGATATAGCAACGCGGAAATAAACGCTGCTATAAGAAGACACTTGGACCGTTGGTATAATTCAGAACCTAGAACAGAAACCACAACACCCCCAATAAAATTATATTACAAATCAACCATGCACAGTGAACATATAAAAGAGGAAAGAATAATGAAAGAAATAATCCGTAAAGGAGTAAAAAGCACTACTCCTAACCAAAACATAAACCTGATAATATTCTACAAAACCAAGAAGACTTCCGAACTCCTTATCAAAAACAGCCCGAAGCCGACGGAGAACCCTCTACAGCAGTCAAGCGTTGTATACATGTACACTTGCCCCCACGAAGGATGTAACCTTCAATGTAAGTACATAGGTATGACGTCGACCAAGCTGACGAGGCGTTTGACATGCCATCTTCAATCTGGTGCCCCTAGGAATCACATGAGACAAGCCCATGACATTACTCTAACAAGAGAAATGTTGAACAAGAATACTTGCATAATAGACAAAACCCAAGATTCAAGAAGATTACAAATTCTTGAGGCAATTCACATAAGAATAGAGCGACCTACCATGAACACCCAAATCACGGAACTTTTTACTCTGCCCACCATGAGAGTAAGGACAAGACAAGAACATATCGATGCCAACACAGAAGACAATGTCCAACATAACAGGCCAATTACACTGGATTAATCTTTGTGTTTAGATAGGAGATGCCTCGTATGGGCCAATAAGCCTTCTGCAGCCCCTATGTTTATCCCTTATGTATCCCCCCATGTTTTCACCTTCATTGTATTATCACCTGACCTAATGCGGGTATAAAATCAACTAGTATTGTAAGATCTGTTCACTTGAGAATGAACCATGGAGGTTCGAAACGTCGTGTAAATTATACAAATAAGTGTAATACACTCTATAATAAATCACTTCTTTTCTTCACCTTAAAAGTACGAAAATGAGTTTTGGAGAACTCCTATTTCAATTAAGCCCTGATGCTAAGAAAATAGTTAGAGGGATAGAAGCCCTAAACCAGAAAATAATATATATATATATATATATATATATATATATATATATATATATATATATATATATACCGAAACGCTGTGCGTATTAGTGGCTTTAGGTATTGTATGTACTAGCTCTATCTGTAAATCCAACATTATGTTTGTAACTTTTCATCTATGTATGTACATTTACCTGAATAAACATTTGAATTTAAATTTGCATTTTATATGTAATGTAGCTTCTCCGAAACGCTGCGTTTTGGCTACAGGATTCCATATACATTATTATTCAGCAATAACTGCTTGTGTATATCCTATATTATCAATTGTAATAATTAAAATATTTTTAATATTGTGTAATATTAACTCCGAATTGTGAAATAGATTATATGGAAATCTGTTTATGAAATATTTTGCTCTGAAATTTGCTGTCATTTACTCCTATTATAAAATAATTGGATGATTAGTATTATTAAATATATTATAAATTATTTATTGAGAGTGTAGTTGTTATAAGGGGGAGAGTGAGGTAATATTGGGGGTGAGATATTTTCCGAGTGAGCGTTGTTGTTGGCGGCGGCGGCCACGTTGGTTCCGTCTCTTTGTGTTGTTGTCGGGCCGGAGTGAGCATCTGCTGCTGCTGCTGCCACTCTCCCCACACTACTCTCCTCCGCCACACACCCAGCCATGGCGCCTACTAAGAAGTCTGTGAGTTAATGACCTGTTGACCTCTTTATCTACTCTTGTTGCTCTGCAGTATTGCCCGTTTTAAGAGCATTTGTTGGTTAGCAGCCGGCCCCGGGTGGGCGGCAGCCGGGCCCGGGCGGGCGGCAGCCGGAAACTTGAACATTCCTAGACATTCCTAGACTAAGCTCCGGAAGCACCTCAAGGTAGTCTGGTTGATGGGGTTCTGGGAGTTCTTCTACTCCCCAAGCCCGGCCCGAGGCCAGGCTTGACTTGTGAGAGTTTGGTCCACCAGGCTGTTGCTTGGCGCGGCCCGCAGGCCCTACATACCCACCACAGCCCGGTTGGTCCGGCACTCCTTGGAGGAATAAATCTAGTTTCCTCTTAAAAATGTCCACGGTTGTTCCGGCAATATTTCTTATGCTTGCTGGGAGGACGTTGAACAACCGCGGACCTCTGATGTTTATACAGTGTTCTCTGATTGTGCCTATGGCACCTCTGCTCTTCACTGGTTCAGTCTACTAGTGCATAGTCCCATACTCGCTAGTAGCTATGTATTTCAAGTAATCATCTTTTCTTCCTTGTACCAAAGATGGTACTAGTCCCTACACTAAATCATTGGCAATGCTCAAAGATAATCTTACATTCATCTTTGTAAGATGAATGATGTATAATTATGCCATTTTTACATTGTATAATCACGTGTAACTTGTCTTCAATGGTTAGCACAACTTTCATTCTTGATATCCCCAGAACGATTGCTGCTGTAACAAGACGGTCTTGGCAGAAAATTGTCCACTCGTCCCGTTCATTAGCGCCACATCTTATTTACTCGTCCTCTTCCTTAGTGCCACATTTTTTTCGTCTCGATCCTTAGCAGCACAACTTGTCATCCCACATCTCTTCGCGGTTGCTTTCCATACTTGGCTATTTCCAAAAGCACTGAAGTGTGGTTACATAATTAATGTTGTAATGCGTTGTATAACAGTTTTCCATATCGGTCCGTCTAATTGCCACAAACTACACAAGCTTAAGAAAGCTTCCTGGCAATACGTTAGTAATGAATAAATATGATATATTTACTCATTATAATGTTGGTGCTGAATGTACAACACGAAAAAACATAATTTTAATCTGAAAAAGTATCTTTTTATAAAGAAATTAGACGAAAATAAAAAGCTGGTGACGCCAAATCAAGTCGACGATCCAAGCTTCGGTTAGGTTAGGTTAGGTTTGGTTAAGTTAGGATAGGTTAGGTTAGGTTACGTTAGGTCAGCCTAACTTAATATATCATATTTATTCATTACTAACGTATTGCCAGGAAGCTTTCTGAAGTTTGTGTAGTTTGTGGTAGCTTGTGGTAATTAGACGGACCCTTCCATATTTATTTGGGCAGTATTTACTCTTCACAAATCTTGTTGGCTGCTACAAGATTAAATATTTCCAATAGGGGCCCCTGATTTATCAGTTTTAACTTTTAATGATCAAATCTTAAAATTCCTTACAACAGTGGTTATTGCTTAAATAACCTTATATATTTAAGCAATAACTTTAAATAACCATATTGCTTGTAGAGCTGTATATGCCCGTAGCAACCATTGTATCTCATACAATATCTTAATCCTTTTAAACAAGTTTCCTATGAGCATCGTAAATTTAAATTATATCGACAGTTTAATATTATTAATACATAGTGCATGTTCATGTTTGCAACAATTGGGCGTCGTGGTGTATATTTCTCGTGTTTATACCTGGTGTCCCGCCCCCTCTGCCACGCCCCCTCTGCCACGCCATGACTTCATTATGCTGTCTAATGGTGCCAGTTGAGGGGGCAAGAGAACATTTAGTCCTTAGGAAGCAGCATTCCACCATTGGAATGTCTGTGCCAAAACTCGGACTTACAGAATTATTTTATATATTGGTAGCATTCAACCAGGGTACTGCACTTTTTGGTAATTTTTCAAAATGTTAATTTCATGTACTTCATGTAAACTATTTTGTACTAGTATATAAAATGGGCATGTAACTACATATGTTTGAGGTTTAATGTTAGGAAATTGTTGAATTACAAAAATTAGAATATTATATAAGAATTGAAGTAGCTGCACAAGGTTCATGCACGGCAGCTCCTATTTTATCTACCCAATCTCATTCATATGTAATTTTATATGTAAATGAGATTGAATGATTCACTTTAATTTTAGTGGCATAAACTTGCTTAATTGACGGGGATTAATGAAGTAGATTTTCTAGATTTAATTGACGATTGCGCCTTAAGCAACCTTTAGGGAAACCGCGTAAAAGTAATATTTTAGACTGTTAACTAACAGGGAAACTCAAATTAATGCCATCGAAATAGGGAGTGAGGGAACAGTGATCACAAAGAAATCAGACTTGGCTTAGAATGGAATAGATTTGTAGGATTTTTTTTGTTTGAAAACCTGATTTTAATGGCCTAAGAAATTTTTTGGGTGAAATATATTAAGTCCTAGGTATGGGGATTGGGCTGATCTTAGAGCTAGACGTGAACCCAGCGATGGGCAATTAAAAAGGCATTTCGATGTATATTTAAAATATAACTTGTTAATGTCTTGAAAATAACTTGTTTAATGTAAACTTGAAATATGTTCCTGTGGTTTGCTTAGAATATTTTTGAGTTGTATTTTTAATCTACATTGAAATCCCTTTTTACATCACCCATCGCTGGGTTCACGTCTCGCTCCAAGACCGACCGACCTCCCATGCCCAGGATTTCCACTATTATACCCAAAAATTTTAGGCCATTAATAGGGGCTGTTCTCCTTATCAACAAAATGTTCAATTTTTTAATATTCGTCTAAAATAAATTTCTGAAAATATTTTGGCGAAATCTTCACCGAGCCAATAAGTTGGAGATTTGTTTAACGTTTTTAATACATTTTTACATATTTTTAATATTTTTTTCAAATTATGCCCCCATATGCTGAACAGTTTAAGGGTTAATAGATTACCCAATAATTGTCATCATCAGAATTTTTCCATACTAATATTTATCCAAGTCTTTGAATCTTCTATCAATTGTTTAGATTTTTTTTATTTATAAAATAAATAACTTATTATAACCTTATTTATAACCACTGCTATTTACTTTCATCTGTCCATTTATATACTTAAATCATATTGCCAATTACTGTCCATAGAGAATGTAAAGTAAGAAATTTTAATCTTAATAAGGAAGAGTAAAGTTAGTCCTTATATGCGTTAGTGAAATAATCTGTACTGTAGAGACCAAAATGTGAGGCCTCGTAATGTAAATGGAGCTTAACAAGACAAAGATAAGGCAACAAGACTATATTAGGCATTGATAAAGATTAAAAATGAATCTCAGTATTCCACACATTTGCATTAATTCTTTGGCTCAAGATTCCTTCGTAGTCATTTGGGTAATTTTTTGCGTTTACTTACCATATTAGATGTGTCCAGCTGATATGTGAACTTATTAGTACCCAAGATCGGAATTTTTTTTGTTCAGAATGAAACGACATCTGCCAATCTTTAGTCCATTTTGAAGCCTATCTAAATCGTCTTAATGTATTACACAAGTTTTGTGCTTAGCCTTATGCTATACAAGTGGCTGAAATTAACGCTCGCTACTACTGCCTCATGAACAGGTCGCACTGCCGCCAGATTCCCAGTACTGTATTTGGAATCAAAATTTAACAATACCCTGCACTCCAGATTACATTCAACACTGTACTTCCTAAATCCAACTACACCAAACATGTCTTCAGCCATCCACTTGTTCCTTCAGTATTTAACAGGTGGCTTGTTAGTTTTGTTGAAACTGGGTAACTCTAAAAGCAGTCTGCCTCGAGTACAAATTAGTTGGGGTGCCACTATTCTATGCTGTTACCAGTAATGTATCTAATATTAGTGTGATCTTTTCAGAAAAAGGCCATCGAGAGCATTAACTCTCGGTTGGCTCTTGTGATGAAGTCTGGCAAGTACGTACTGGGCTACCGTCAGACCCTAAAGTGTCTTCGAGCTGGAAAAGCCAAGCTGGTGATTCTGGGCAACAACACTCCATCTCTCAGGTGAGACCGAGAAGTAAACCCTCACATGGATGGCCAACCATCTTGGTCAAAGTGGCACCAATTTGTACTCTGCTTGTTGGTGTCACGCAAGATGGAATTTGGACAAGGGATAAACTTGATAAAAATGTTAATTTTAGAATGTTGACTTAACCCTTGTTCAAGGTGAGCTTCACTTCTTGCCAAAATGCCTTCCCATATTGACTTGTGTTGGTATTTTGGGAGAAATGTTGTCAGTGTGGTGGTTTATGGAGTCTCATTATCTCTTCTGTGACATATAACAGTAAGTTACCCTGTGTATGTATAACCTAAGTTATGAACTCTTGAGCTGCGTGTGTTGATGTGCAGTTTTAATGTAGCTGTAAACGCTTGCATTGCAGTGACGGGGAAGTATATTCAGGGCCTGATCAAAATTACTCTAAACTTGATGTAATGTAAGGCAAAATTGACTTTGTTGCCGATGGTTTTGGATGTTTGGCTTGGCAAATGCACTTGTAAACGGAGATTGTAGGTGGCATGAACTGAGTGTAAATATTTCATGACGTCTCTAGAGTTGAGCCTTCATTGCACAGGGTTTGGAAATTTGAATGCACAAGTACGTTAAAAGATTGATTCAGACCTAGGTATGGTGATTAAATTGACGTTTATAAATTAACACTTTCGCGCTCTCCGCAAACGTCACTCAGCCAACCGAATGTGCGCGCTGCGTTTTTATCGCTTAAGCGTAAAAACAAAAATGTGTGTACTCTTTTTACTCTTCTGACCTTAGTTCTCATGCTACGTATTTCATTTTGGTACCAACGTGTTCGCAATAAAATTCTCTAGAAGAACCAACTACTTGGACTGGACGGTAGAGCGACGGTCTTGCTTCATGCAGATCGGCGTTCAATTCCCGACCGTCCAAGTGGCTGGACACCATTCCTTCCCCCCGTCCCATCCCAGATCCTTATCCTGACTCCTTCCAAGTACTATATAGCCATAATGGCTTGGCGCTTCCCTTGATAATTCCTTCCTTCCTTCTCTAGAAGAACATTAGTAAAATAAGTCACGAAACATATAGGGATACCAGCACCAAATAACTACGTAGATGACTCGCCGTGAGCGCCCATCAGCAACAAAATGTTTTTACTCTTGGGATTGTAATCGCCTCCACACTTGTTCTACAGCGTTAATTTTGGTATCAATGGACTCGCAATGAAATTCCCAACACGGTGATATGAATATAAGCGTAGAATAATGATGCAGCCCGCCCGCAAGAGTGTGGGAAGTGGTGAAATTGTTACCCGGTATCGGTGACGGGACGACGCACGGCGCTTTGAAAGTTTATACTTATTTCACTCTCATGACATTAATTTTCTATGTACGTCATTCATTTTTATGTCAATGTGTTCGCAATAGAATGTTCTATGTGTCCATAGGTAAAAAATATCAACAAAGCGTAAGTTAGAATAGCGACAAATATAAAACAACGCTGGAACATATCAGTGAGCGTCAAACACACACGAAATATTTTTACTTTTGTTATGTTTGTCAAGATTATACTTGTTGCACACAGTTATTTTTGGTTGTATATTGATCGGAATAAAATTCCCTAAACAGACATATTCATCTAATAAATGATATGGGGGAAGCATTACCAGTATAAACGGCTAAAGTCGCCCACCTGCAACCCGTTTGGGACAAAATACCATTTGATCGAAGTTATCCACACCTTTCATGAACTTATTGTACCATGCAGCCTAGTGGTGAGAAAGAGAGCCTCATAGCGCGCAGTTTGAAACAAACCCAAAGTAAATCGGATAAAAATTGAATTTTATACAAATATTTTAAAAGTAGACATAACTTTATGTCCACTATGCGTTTACGTTAGACGAAACCGAACGCGCCGGCGCGTCCAGATAGCGCGAAAGTGTTAAGTTCTCAAATTCTTGAGATTTCTTGAATAACAAGATTTTTGTCAAACTAGATAATATTAAATACGTTCCATTTTATTGTCCAGTTGGCTAACGGTAATTATAGGTAATTATTTCAGAATCGTGTATAATACATTATTGTACAAGACAAAGGGTGAGGTCAAAGAGTTGCATGAATCATCATTTTCTCATGTTTTTCTTTATTTGAAGGAAGTTGGAAAAACTAACTCCAAATCCAAAGTTCATTTTATAGTTTTAGTTAGAGGTGCATTTTGTTGGCTCTTGTTAAGATTATCAAAGGCAGCGTTTGAATAGTTAAAAGGTGTTATTGCGGTCGGGTATATAGCCAGGGAGGTGGTGGGGGTGAAGCACCTTGCTTAGGGGCCCATATGCCCACTGCAACTTACCAGCCTGTTCCATGATGGCTGCGGCAGTATATTGTTGTATTCACAAAGATCGTAGTGTGTAATTTGGTTTTAGCTGTTGATAGTGCTTGGTTCGTTAGATTTATAATGCCTCGCCAATGTCCAGCTTTTTGTTATCGTTGTATTTGTCAAGTGACAAGATTGAGTGCTCTTCTCTGCAGACTTGCTGCATGGGTGTAATGATGCCCATCCTGCTTTCTCCCTCACATTGCACTCTAAATTTTAAGCCATCCTCAATTTAAAACATCGCGATGCTATTTCCCTGAGGCAAGACACCAGGTTTGCCGAGTTTTTTTTTCTCCAACATGACTTATGGTCGTATATTGCATTACAGTTCGCCTGCCCACTCTTTACCACCTCTCAATTCCACAAGCGTTTTCTGGTCTTATGCCCCAACATCTCCACCAGCTTCTCATCTTCCACTAATCTGTTCAGAACCCAAGTCTTCGTGGTTTACTGCCACGTGTCTCCACCCTTCTTTCCAGTCTTCTGCTGTTCAGTTTGGTGTCCTTTCTCCACTTTCCTCCTTCTTGTCCCCTGTGGCTTTCCCTTCTTAACCCTTCTCCTGTGTCTTTTTGCCCCTCCATAAAAGCTGCTCTTCCAGCCAATGTCTATGCTCCTCCCTGTTGACTTCCTGTTGTCCATTTTCATCCTTGCTCACCTGCTGATACTGTGACGGCTGTCATACAGTCCAGTTGTTACTAGCTCCCCAGCATCTTGGTCAGAAGTGTATAGCTGGCTCCATTTTCCTCCTCCAGCAGGTCAGAAGGCATTGGTTCATTCCCAGCTTTCCACCTTTTAGCTCTCGTCTCTGTGGCAGAGTCGACTGACCCCGCTATCGAGGTTAACATTGCCTTCGATTCTCCATGACGCTGTCTTTGATAAAGTGTACTCCACGCTGTCCACATAAAATGCACTAAAGTCCTTCCCCTATTTCCGTGACTGCCCATCTCGAGGCCTCCTCCCACTACAGATTGTCAGTCTACCTGCATCCCCTCCTGCCCCCACCTCAACCCAGCCATCTTTGCTTGATATACCTATGCTCCCCATCCTAATTTCACTGAATGTTGAACCAAATATTGCCAACATGGACCAAGAGATATTCTTGCAATGGAGGCATCCTTACAGAAAAAGGTGGTGAAAGGGAACCATGGCAGGAGGATCTTCTTACCTGGAGAGGATCTTGGGAGTTGTTCTATGATGCCAGATTGAAATTATGGAGTACAGTGATTTTCTCATCACATTACTGTAATTACTTCATGTATGGGGATATTGATGGGTATCTTTAATAGTTGTTTGTATTAATGAGGCCCTACAGTAGATAATTCAGATTAGACCCAAGTTTCAGATCCATACAATATTATTTAAATTAGAAAAAAGTTAGGCAATTCTAGCATACAGTTTAATGAGTAGATGCGATTTTGATAGTTGGTTTGGTATTAAAAATAAATATTTGTATTTTGGACTAATTTATGAAGTTCAGGAACACTAGCTTCAGTGTAGTCTGTGTGAAGGCTCGGTGATACTTTGCATAAATATACTGTACTGCTTTGAGTGTTAATTGGTTTGTCTAATCCTAATTTGTGTAATTGTGCAGTTATTTCTTTATATTGCTCATCCCTCATTGCTGTTTTTCTCCTGCTCTAGCTTTGACTTCAGCCTGATGTTACACAGTTTTGTGCATTGAAGTAGATTATCCTTCTTCTGAGATATGCTAATGAATCGTCAAGTGGATAAGGTGTTAAATGTGGCCTTGCTACAACAGGTGGTGGGGGGGGGGAGCTGCTCTGTTGCTGTTGTGCCGTCTCATCTCTCGTCTTTGGTTATCATTGGATAACCAAAGCCGGTCGGCCGAGCGGACAGCACACTGCACTTGTGATCCTGTGGACCCGGGTTCGATCCCGGGCGCCGGCGAGAAACAATGGGCAGAGTTTTTCACCCTATGCCCCTGTTACCTAGCAGTAAAATAGGTACCTGGGTGTTAGACAGCTGTCACGGGCTGCTTCCTGGGGGTGGAGGCCTGGTCAAGGACCGGGCCGCGGGGACACTAAAAAGCCTTGAAATCATCTCAAGATAACCTCAAGAATCCTTGGTGACTGATGATGACCTTTGCTCCCTTGTTAGCATCTTAGTGATACCCAGGATTTTTTTTATTCTTTTCCAGTGCTAAATATTCTTCCAGGCTTGGTGCCTTTGATAATTACTTGTACTGGTGAGGGTTGTAAATGTTATTTTGCATGCCACTTTGTCATCTATAATTTCACATTAATGTAATTATGCGTGGCCCAACTTGGGCTGATTAATGTTTATTCCTGTATAGGGATATTACTAGTATTTATCAAACTATAGTATTCCTGTTGGATTTTCAGTTGGTGTTTTACCTTTTGAAGGTACTGCAATAGTTGATAATAAATTTCACTAAGTACTTTGTAATAAATTTTAATGTTTAATGCCCTCTCAGCCCCATCAGTTGACATTATTGCAATCTGATGCCAGGAGATGGGCAAGAACACACAGTCTGTAGGAAGCAAGCCTCTACACTAATTGGAATGCTTGTGCCGTATTTCAGACGCACAAACCTGCACATGCACGAGTGCACACAAAGCCTCTACACTAATTGGAATGCTTGTGCGGTATTTGAGACGCACAAACCTGCACATGCACGAGTGCACACACACACATTTGACCCGTAATTGTTATGTAGGTGTAAATATGTCCATTTTTCAGGAAGTCTGAGATTGAGTACTATGCCATGTTGGCCAAGACGGGTGTTCATCACTACTCTGGCAATAATATAGAACTGGGAACTGCCTGTGGTAAATACTTCCGAGTGTGTTCCCTTGCTATTACTGACCCCGGAGATTCTGACATCATTCGCACAATGCCAACAGAATAAACTAGGTAAGATGCTTTGTTTTGTCTGGAGTTTAAGAGGTTATGATGTTGAATACATTTAAGAGGTTGTGGGCAAAGAAATCAAATTTTCCTCCATAGGTTGTGGGCAAAGAAATCAAATTTTCCTCCATAATACATTTAATGGTTTCGGTAATTGTTAAATGCATTCCTTAGTTTCAAATAGATAAGAATGGGAAATGCTCAGTTTTTTACCTTTGCATATAGCCCCACAAAATTACTATGTATTGGGCCAAAACTGAATCTACCGTGAGCTGTTAGAGTTGATAGTGATGGCTGCTCAGCAGTGCCAGGCATCAGTTTTGCTGCAAGCAAAAGAAAGCTTAATATAGTGAACCAAACCTTTCCCAACTGTCAACTATTCCCATAGCAACAGTTGAGCAGGTGTAGCCACAGGATGAGAGCTTTGCTTGTGGTTATCTTGAGGTTATCTTGAGATGATTTCGGGGCTTTAGTGTCCCCGCGGCCCGGTCCTCGACCAGGCCTCCACCCCCAGGAAGCAGCCCGTGACAGCTGACTAACACCCAGGTACCTATTTACTGCTAGGTAACAGGGGCATAGGGTGAAAGAAACTTTGCCCATTTGCTTCTGCCTCGTGCGGGAATCGAACCCGCGCCACAGAATCACGAGTCCTGCGCGCTATCCACCAGGCTACGAGGCCCCCCATGGTGTCCTGTCTTCCCAGTACTCTTGTCCTCTAATGCTTTGAAACTACTGAAGGTTACATCACATTCAGTTTTGGTGTGAAGGTTACAATGTAAAGTTGTTAATAATGTTCG